GTCGTTGGACGTGGATCCTTGGAGATCAGCCCATTTCAAAGCGATGAAGTGTAGACCCACGTGATTGCTGTGGGCAATCGTGTACTTCTCAGACGTATTGGCGACACCTTTTTTGCCCACCTGGATTTGGGCTTTTTCGTTGCCACCAGCTTGAAAAGTAGTGTGATCATGGGCTCCTCGATACATTGCGCCCACAGTGACATCTTGTTGGCCTTTGCCCTTCTTCCCCATGGAATCAAGAAGGGCTGTTTCCGCCCACGTCGGAAATGTTTTGTCGGCATTGGAGACTTCTCTGCCAAGATAAAAGGCCCCAAAGGTCGGTAAGTGGCACCTTTGTGGATTCCTGTGGTACGACCAGTTGGCCGGTCTGATCTTGCCTTCCAGGAGAATCAGCTGAGCGGTTTTGATGATCGTACCGTGACAGAGTGCCCAGGTATGATTATGTTGGTTGCCAAAAGGAGGTGGCATCGAGAAGCGACTGATGTCTGGCAATGGCATGATGAGTGCAAGCATGTTCGTGTGAGGAAGTTCACGAACATAGCATGTGGAAAGGTCATAGTCCGTAAGGAGATTGGTACTGGAGAACAGTTGGACAGCCTTTTCACATACATCGCTGGGAATTCTGGAGTCAACCCGATGGAGTTGTTCCATTGCATCATCAAGTTCATCCTGTGGAATGGACGTGTTCGGTTCAGGGCGTTCGCCTCCCTTGAGTTCATTGGCAGCTCGCATCCTGTCTGGATGATTCAAGGCAAAATCGATGTGGCGGGCCCATTCCTCTTTCGAACCGTCTTGAAGATTGATGGGAACATGTCCTGGAGGGACGGCACTGGTGGAGGCACGAGATTGGATTGATCCAGAACGGTGTGGAGGTTGACGTGAACGGTCAGAGGAAAAGGCAGTGAGAGGTTTGTTGGAAGACTTGTAGTAGGATGATTCGTAGTGGCGTTGATGTTTGGAGGAAGCTTTTGGATAGTCAATCCAACCCGATGGATGGGTATGAGGCTGAGATTTGGAATAGTCCTTCCATTGGTTCCAGGATTTCCACTTTTTGGAGGATGGCTGGTCAAAGGACCGGTAGTCCTGTTGGTAGTACTCGTTGTGAGATGATGTATCATGATGGTAGCTCTGATGTTCCCACGATGCAGGGTGAAGAATAGCTGGTTCATGGCCAGGTTCATCACGGTCAGGATCATCATTGTGTGGTAGTACATCTCGTTGACGTGGAGAGGATGAGCGTAGGTTGACAGATGTAGCTCTGGTTGGACGTCTGGATGGGTCCCTCGAAGTGGAATGTCGTCTTCTGTGTGACGACCGTGGTCGAGATGAACGATGTATTCGTCTCGGTGGTGTAGCTCGACGGGGACTTCGTGGAACAGAGATTGGACGTTTGTCCGGTGCCCCACGGTGTCGATGGGAGCGAGAACGAGAGCGGCGATGAGAGTGTTGTGGTGGTGGTAGAGCTTCTTCAGGTGGAGGAGGATGACTTGGAATAGGTGGAGAGACTTGACTTGGTGATGGAGCTGGAGCAGGAGGTTGGTTCAGGTTGCGCTCTTGGTTTTTGGCCACGAACGCCTGCATGCTGGACTCCACTGTGTTCTTCATCTGTTGCATCATCTCTTCACAGCATTGAAGGTTGCATTGGAACTTGGTGGTGTGGACTGAGGTGCCACCGGTGTTGGTGGTTCAGGCACGGAAGGAGTGTGCTGAGGTGGATGTGGATTGAACGTGGATTGGTGAAATGGCAGGAGCTGTTGGAGGTGCTGGATATGTGTCTGAGCCTGTAACCCCAGTTGTTGATTCAAGATGGTATTTTGCTCTCTGAGAGCCGCCAGTTGTGCCTGAGTCTGAGCTTGAGACTGAGCCTGTGACTGTTGGTTCATTAGATCACCGCCACAAAATTGACCTTGAAGTCCCATCGCTTGTGGGTTCCAGAAGGTCCACATGTTGTCGGGAGCGGCTGGATACCGTCCAGGAAACATGGCAGCACTGTCAGACGATTGAAATAAAAATTAGTTCGAACTGGATGCATCCACAATGCATGCAATATTCGTGATAAGGCTCAAAGGCCCTCGGTATTCACGTCAACCCTATCGACGGCTATCAGTGTTCAAATGAATTACGTGCACAATTGAACCTCACCAACGACCATAAAAAGAAAGAAACACCAAACCTGCAAGGATGTCCTGTTGCCTGTGAAATCATGCGAAAATGGCTGCGGAATGGCTGTCTCTTGAGAAAGGAAAGATTGTTGACGTGGCAGCAGGCTACAAACCCTTTCATCTCAGAAAATGGTGAAGCCACATGCAGCGGCCAGTTGTTCAACACATCGACATCGACAGGTGAGACCTGAAAAAAAGCTGGCTGTTTCACTTTACTTAGACGAATTACTAATTCAAAAGTGTAAATTCAGACATCGTGTTACCGTCAATTTTTAGCCTAGAAAGGCTTTCCCCGAAGGGCTCATACCACCTTGTCGGACAACGGTATGAGTGACACACTTGCTCAGAAACGTCATTGCGAATTTTGTTGTGGAATGCATCTCACGTGCACAAAACAGTCCATTAAAAAACTGACAGGAAAATTGGTTGATCCAGCGTGAACTTCAGTGCGAAGTAAGCTTTCTACGTCCTTGCTCTGAGGAAGGTTCTGATGAAGAGGAACCATACATATTTGATCGAAAGTAATTCCAGATTGCGATAACAGTGCAGTAAATTGAATATTTCAAAAGAAACGGCACGGTGGTTCTTGGGTTAACCACATCCCATGTCCGAAAATGAAGCAGGTACGTGACAAAGGCGTCCCTTCGTCATATCACCATGGAAAGGCAGTGTCTTCGTTGGTGGATGACTGCCAGACCATGCATCCACCCCCTGCTCTAAATTGAATATGGATTTGGAAACTGCATTTGAAATTGACAAAGCATCACGAAGCGGAAAACCGAAAACCTAACTAACAGCAAAACCGACATCATCGGGTAGAAGTTTTACATCTATTCAGATGGTCCACACACACACACACACACGCACCCACACGCGCACATACACACACACGGACACAAACATAATTACACACACACACATACATATATTTTTTGTTTTTAATATATATATATATGTAAAATATGTATAATAAAATATGCGAAATATATGTAAAGTATGTAAAATATGTATATGTACATGTATGTGTATATGGATATGTATATGTATATGTATCTGCATCTGCAAATGTATATCTAGATGTATGTGTACATGTAAATCTATATCTATTTGTATACGTATATGTATACATACCAGCGCACACACACAGATTTATATACACATACGAACACATAGGCGTAGACGCATACACATATACCATGCAGATGCATATGCATGTAGATTCTTAGATGAGTGGTTACGCTCCAGCATGAGTGTCCGTATAGGTGTTGGTGTCCATATGCCATATATATATATACGTAATGTATGTATGTATGTATGTATGCATGCATGCATGCATGCATGTATGTATGTATGTATGTACGTATGTATGTATATATGTATGTATATATATATAGGCTGCCAACGCGCATGTGCATGCAGGTGTTTATTCCCACATGTGTATGTCAGTTCGCATGGGTACACAAAAACGTCCATCGCCAGTCGCGAAAGTAGGAGGGTTCATCAAAATCAAATCATTACCATCATCAACCTCCTCCTCCTCCTCCTCCTCATCATCATCATCATCACCACCATCACCGTCACCATCACCATCACCCATCATCAGCATCATCATCATCATCATCATCAGCAGCATCAGCATCATCAGCATCAGCATCATCATCATCATCATCAGCAGCAGCAGCAGCAGCATCAGCATCATCAGCATCATCATCATCATCAGCAGCAGCAGCAGCATCAGCATCATCAGCATCATCATCATCATCATCATCATCAGCAGCAGCAGCATCAGCATCATCATCATCATCATCATCAGCAGCAGCAGCATCAGCATCATCAGCATCATCATCATCAGCAGCAGCAGCAGCATCAGCATCATCAGCATCATCATCATCATCAGCAGCAGCAGCAGCATCAGCATCATCAGCATCATCATCATCATCATCATCAGCAGCATCAGCATCATCATCAGCATCATCATCACATCATCAGCAGCAGCAGCAGCAGCATCAGCATCATCAGCATCATCATCATCATCAGCAGCAGCAGCAGCATCAGCATCATCAGCATCATCATCATCATCATCATCATCAGCAGCAGCAGCATCAGCATCATCATCATCATCATCATCAGCAGCAGCAGCATCAGCATCATCAGAATCATCATCATCATCAGCAGCAGCAGCAGCATCAGCATCATCAGCATCATCATCATCATCAGCAGCAGCAGCAGCATCAGCATCATCAGCATCATCATCATCATCATCATCAGCAGCAGCAGCATCAGCATCATCATCATCATCATCATCAGCAGCAGCAGCATCAGCATCATCATCATCATCATCATCAGCAGCAGCAGCATCAGCATCATCAGCATCATCATCATCAGCAGCAGCAGCAGCATCAGCATCATCAGCATCATCATCATCATCATCAGCAGCAGCAGCAGCATCAGCAACCTTGATACACCCCCCATACCACCAACCAGCAGAAGAACAGGTGTAGCGTAGAACGCCTCGACGAGGAAGGGAAACGAATCATTGACGCGCCGGCCAACAACCCAAAGATGCACGTATAAACCTGTGTATCAACATTTGCACATACATCTGTATGCGTTCATATTGGTATTGACATATTGACAATGTGCATGCTGCATGCATGGGCGCGCAAAGGCCAGTGCTTGTACATTACATTGTACATGCAAGATTCATGATGTTCATGTTTTCAGTGAACCCATGGCAGCGTTCAGCTTAAGTTTGCCCTTGGTGTCGAACCTGGACAAGAACACAAACCAACTTGTGGCGGTGAAGTATTAGGGATTTGTTTTTGACGCCCCTGCGAGGTTCAGCATGTCTCCTTGGATGAGCTTGAAAAGTTGCAGAACAATGGGCAGGATGTCTTCCTCATTAAATTCGAAAGGCCTCCACGGGAACGGATCTCGAGATCTGAGGCTGCTGTTCGCAACCTGGCAGCTGTGGCTTTGGGGTCGTCATCACGTCATCCATTCTTTCACTTTTGCATTGTCATCACGTTCACCACATCTCCAACCTCAGGCCACAGGCATTTCACCGAAGAGTTTGCGGAGGGCTGGAAGGATGATCTTTTTCTTTTTGAAACTTGGTTGGCATCAAAGGCATTGTCCCCAAGCACCTCGGTTGCAGTGCGGTGGCTTCAACTTTCAACCGTGACATCAATGTGATTGTCATACGTATGCATGTGTGTTTTCAAATGAACCTTTGCCGACTTTCCTTGCACTGAGATCACCTGAAGTTCGTATTCCGAAAGCTTCTGGAGTCTGTGCGAAAGGAAATTACCGAGTTCGAGCGCCACCCAGCAGCACCAGTGTAGCCAAATTGGATCCAGTTCTACAAGACGGGATACGGAATGCACGAGTAGCAGTGCAGTAGCCAAAGTGCGGCAAAGGTAAGAAAACGCATCGTTTTCAATCACTCCTCTCCAAGAGCATCCGCTTGGTTGACTTGAAGAGTCGCCTGGAGAAGGCGTCGGACTGTGCTGAGCACCAGTGAAGGCTACAAGATGAAGCAAGAAATGACAACCATAAAGGATAATAAAGGATAATAAAGGATAAGAAAGGATAATAAAGGATGATAAAGGATAAGAAAGGATAAGAAAGGATAATAAAGGATAATGAAGGAAAATAATGGGTAAATACCCTGCAAATACTTCAGCTTCAGCCTGACTTCAGCAGACATTTTTGTCAAGATAGATTGAGATACGGACAAGGAAGCCAGCAAGCCAGGAAACAAAGAGGAGGGAAAGGTGAACCAAGCACATTTTGGCTCCAGAGTATCAGGAAAGTCTTGATGCTAGAATGATTCAAAAAAGGTTTCTTGAGCTCCCTCCATCACAACAGAGATGTTTGCAACCCTTCCTGTTTGCATCACATATTTTTAACATGAATAGCACACACACACACACACACGCTCCATTGGCAATAGGACGTGTAGCCTCCCGGATCATTTGCGACTGACACATTGAAAATATAATTTTCCACCGAAACCTTTGTCCAGCCTCCGCAACACAAAGATACACACATGATATTACACGGTTTCTCTTTTCAAGCTGTTCTTGCAACAACCACGTGCATGGATGGTTTTCTTGCAGTTTTCTTTGCACAGTGGTGTGCAAGTACACGAGCAAAGAAATGTCTATATCGGGGCCCCAAGATGGACCCACGGCAAAGTCCAAAGATTCCCGTGTCCCATCTTGTCCCCTGGGGCACCTTGCAGGCGAAAGCTGAACACAGCATCACCGCGCAGAAGCAAGATCGCTCGAAAGACCTGTCCGCTGAACTCAAGGCAGGTCCAGGTCCTTTTTGAAGTTCAGTCATCGTCGCTTTTGTGCATTTTTTTCGCTGAAACCAGCCAAAGACTCGCTCTGGAGAAGCTCATGCTGGTATAGGGGCGTTGAGAGTCACGTTGCAAATCCTGAGGGCCCTGTTGAATCGTGAGAGTGAAATTGTGGGCCTTTTCACGTGTCATTGCTGGAAAGAAAGGCCTCGCAATTTTTCGCTTGTACCACTCCCCAGTTTTTTTAAATGACAACCCCCACTCCTTTTGGTTCTGAAGGGGGAAGAGCATCAGGTCATTGAACAAGAGCTGAAGTTCCTTCTCGATCAGGCTGAACTTGCATTATGTGTTTCTTGACCCTGTAAGTACTGGGCCTCCTCCACAGTTTCCACCCTTGAAATCACGCCTTGACAGGTACCCCCTTCTTTTCTGAAAGACTTGAAGGACTTATCCCATGAATTCGCAAAACGAGGCCTCTCAAGGGTAGCACGTTTGACTTTTTTGTGAGCCATGTGTTTCACAGGTTTCACATGACGTTGCCAGTGCTGTGAAGGAGATCAACTCAGCAAAGGGGTCATGATGCCAGAGCCAAATGAATCGCAGTCCAGGCGTTCGAGGACTCGACGCAAACTTGTCGATGAATCCAATGCTGGAAGTGCCAATGGCTAACGAAGCAGATGTGATGTTATTTTTCCATATTTTTTCCATATTTTTTCCATGTTTTTCCTGGAATGTCCGTGGCTTCCATGAACCAGTGAGTCACCGGCTTCAGGAGCATGCAAGCCGCTCCGGTGATGCGCGTGTCCAGTCAGGACCCCTGGAAGCGATCTCAACGATTCAAGGAATATGCACGCCTGCACTTGCTGAGGTATGAGGGAGGCGACTATGTAGCTCGGCAAAAACATGGTCAGCGGACTCCTTTTCCATCGGGCGCATTCCCTTCCATCCTTAGAGGTTCTGGAAAATTCATAGTCAGCCAGGATGCTCGAGGAGAACTTCGGACAGTCAATGCCCTTGGATGAGAGGAAGAGGTTGACGGACTGAACTTTCCCTGTTGGTTGAAACATGTTTGCATGCTGGATCCACACCTGTTCAACGATTCCTGCATCGCAGGACGCCTTTGAACACTTGGAAAAAGTGTCTAGCCAGTGTCGATCTCAGGAATCCAAGGTGCCCACCTCCACTTTTAAGAATCAAAGATCGATGATGTTCGATCAGCGCGCCCTTGCTTGTAACTCTGCATCGCTTGTAACTCTCCAACGGGCTATTCACAAGTGAGCCTTTTCTTAGGTACGAAAAGGAACTAAAAGGCCGCGCAAAGAAACATGTGACTCGGCTCAGGTTGGCTTAGCTTGGCCGGAACAGGAAGCACGTGATGCATAGGTTAATGCACCAGGAGCAAAGCCAGCAATTATTCAATATCATTCAATGTCACATTTCAATTTTTCTCGATTTAGAATTCATCCAGCAACGGTCTGAGTATACTGTGGAGTACTGCAGGGAGTGACAGACGAACACCATGAAGATGGCAGACTCTCCTTCAAGGAGTTTGAGAGGGAAATGATCAGAGGTGTCTGGTTTCAAAGCAACAGTTGGGTGGTGCTCATAAATTGCCCGTGCATCATTTCGATTCATTTTGTTCATATTAGATGAGTCACAAGTTGATGATACCCGTTGAAATTTTTGTTACTAAATCTGAGGCCTCAGGGCCGTTACAGAATGGTTTTTGGCTAACATTTTGTGCAAAATTTTGACCCTGGCTTCTGCCATCTTGTAAGTGGACCCCCCCTGGTACCGGAATTTTGCATTGGAAGTGCGAGTTTGTTACCCTCCAGTCCCGACCATTCTGTCGGAGTCTGGAGGGCTAATCAATAACCACTACAAATTGGATGGATTCAAAGCGTAAATGGATAATACTCAACTATAGCCCCTACAAACTGGATGGAATCAAAAAATCACAGAATAATTTTCATAGCTTAGGAGATCTCAAATAAGAATGTATATTGAATGCATCAAGTTCCAATGCAGTCTGATAAGTGCACTTTATTGATGCCAACGTGAACAAATTTAACATCAGTTGTATTTATATTTTTTGATTATGACACCCCACGTTGTATTTAATGTTTACCTTGGCCACTCAGACAGCGTCACGCCAAAACAGACGGATGAACGCAAAAGAACGGAAAAAATGAACCGCGGCTCGGGTTGGCCGGGCTGTTGCAGGTTACTTCCCAGGGATCCTAGGATAGTGCGATAATAGCCACCCCCAGTCCCCACCATTCTGTAAAGGGCAAATCGAGCCAACGGATGCGAGCGGATGCGAGTCGAGCAAAATCGGTGACTCATTTTGTAACTAGGGGTCAGATAATATATATATATATTTATATATATATATATATCGATATTTACATTTTTTGATTATGACATCCAACGTTGTATTTAATGTTTAGCTTGGCCACTCAGACAGCGTCACGCCAAAACAGACGGATGAACGCAAAAGAACGGAAAAAATGAACCGCGACTCGGGTTGGCCGGGCTGTTGCAGGTAACTTCCCAGGGATCCTAGGATAGTGCGAGTATAGCCACCCCCAGTCCCCACCATTCTGTAAAGGGCAAATCGAGCCAACGGATGCGAGCGGATGCGAGTCGAGCAAAATATGTGACTCATTTTGTAACTAGGGGTCAGATAATATATATATAATTATATATATATATCGATATTTATATTTTTTGATTATGACATCCAACGTTGTATTCAATGTTTAGCTTGGCCACTCAGACAGCGTCACGCCAAAACAGACGGATGAACGCAAAAGAACGGAAAAAATGAACTGCGACTCGGGTTGGCCGGGCTGTTGCAGGTAACTTCCCAGGGATCCTAGGATAGTGCGAGTATAGCCACCCCCAGTCCCCACCATTCTGTAAAGGGCAAATCGAGCCAACGGATGCGAGCGGATGCGAGTCGAGCAAAATCGGTGACTCATTTTGTAACTAGGGGTCAGCTTGGACTGCCATTTTGTAACAAAAACCTTCCTCGGTGAACGTTGGGTTCTGCCAACTTGTAAGAAGGGCACCTTGGGGACGCCGTTCTGTAGCTATAAAATGGGGCTCCCAACCCCTCGGGTCCAATCTGAACGGGGATAGTTGATGTATTTGCAACGGTATCTACCAGCAGATCTTGTGCACGCAGCAACACCCTTTGGCCCTTTGGTTGCTCTTCGTGGAGCTGCGACTTGACCCTAGCATACCAGAGCTATTTGCAAAGATAAGAGTTGGTGTCAGTTGGCCTTTCCATGGACATGAGGTGGTGTGAATTGGCTTGGAAGGGAGGAGCTTCAACATCTCTTCGATTCCATGGATGCAGATGGTTCTGGCAAACTGAACCTAGGCACCATGCAGCCCCTTTCCAGTCTTTTTACATGAGTTGGAATGGCTCGCCGTGTCAGATGAAAGGTTCCGTTCAAAATTCCAACCCTGGATGTTGAAAACAGGGAAGTCCCCAAAAGGATACTTTAGATAACTTGTAAGGACACCTAAAGAATTCTAAAGACCCATGGCGTTTAAACAAGGCTGACATCATCTGACATGGTTCGTCTCTGTCAGGGGAGTTGCAATGCACCGCCATCCGTCTCACGGATTTGGCTGACCGCGTGCAGCGATTCTATGAGGAGAACGAGGCCCGGTTGGTATAAAGGGATTCAGCAGATTCCCACAAAATGATGGATAGTATAATTACGGTCAAACGCCATCGTTTGCCACCGGGAAGAATCTGGCATGTAATGATGCATAATCAGGATGCCCCCCCAAAACCCCCCCGAACCTAAATGGTGATATGCATCTTTCAGGGGTCAGGGGGAAGATGATAATCTTATAACTTATAATCACACAGGTAATTTGTTGTAGCATCTCTTAGTGCTTCCATGAGTATTCCGGGCTACCCTTCTATTTTTTGGGCAAACGATGGTGTCAGCGCGTATAATTATATAGTATAATATTATAATTACAACCCCAATCATCATCATACACCAACAAGTTGACAAGGGTTTTGAACACTGCTTAAGTGTCTTCGTTTGAATGTTGTTCAGTCGAGTACTCTTCGTACTCTTCGCCCAATTCCTTCCAAAGTTCTGTGAATTTGGCGCGCCTGTGTCTGTTGAATCCACAGGCGTACCCTTGGCATGTATACACGGACATGTGTGCACATTTATACGCACATATATGCAGCACACATATGTGCAGACACACCCACACACATCAATCAAGCATATCTTACCTACATTGGACCTACATGTTTCTAGATCTTGGTCCTTTTTTCTTTGCAGCTCGCCAGGGCATGTCCGCAGAGAATTGCTTGCTGGAGTTTGGGCATTTATTGCAAATGGGAAGTGATTTGGTTGGATCCCAGACACGTCCATTGATACCGGATTGCTACATCTCGGCCTCCAGCTGGCATTTGAACCACCCAGAGCATGGGTTCGGACAAATGTGGCGATCCAGACTTGACAGCGATGAGTCATGCTGGATTGCCTCAGACACAGATAAGAATCCATGGCTACAGTGGCGATTTCCATCCCGCCGGGAAATTCGAGCCGTTGCGACAAAAGGCAACCCAAACGCTGCTTTCTGGGCCGGAGACTCAGTGCATGAAGGAACAGACATGTCTATCTGTCTGTCTATCTGCGTTTATCTATCTATCTGTCTATCTGTCTGTCTATTTGTCTGTCTGTCTGTCTATTTGTCTGTCTGTCTGTCTATCTGTCTGTCTGTCTGTCTATCTGTCTGTTTGTCTGTCTGTCTATAATGTGATGTGATGTGAGGTGATACGATGTGATGTGATGCAATGCAACGTGACGTGATGCAATGCAAGGTAAGGCAATGTGGAAATTGGAAGCGCATCACGTAAAAGACCAAGGTCACCTCATTCAAAATCCGTTACTGGGAAGACGAAATTGAAGACGATGAACCGATCCCAGTCGGGGTGCCTAGGGAAGAGTGGTTGTGGTTTCGAGGATGTGGCGGTGCTGTATTGTGGTGTATCCCTAGTGCCTCTCAGTTAAAGTCTTGCCATGTATTCAGCTGTGGCCGCATTGTGGATCCTGAGGACGATGACCCAAGGTGGAAAGAATATCAATTGAAAAAACATGTAGTCACGCTCGAAGGAAACTTTGATATGAATACCCGGAAGGACCGGCTAGTGGCGCTGCTCGCAGTGAGCTGAAAGATTCGGTTCCCTCATCGTCTGTGCCCCTAAACCGCTCTTGGGGCTATAGTTGCTCGAAAGGTGGTCTTTGAATAGGGGCGCAGATGATCAGATGGGCTTAAAGTGCCACGTAGGTCGCACAAACCAAGCGTTGCGCAGGCTATCGTCTGTGCCCCTAAACCTTCGTTGTGCTAGTGGCAAATTTCACTTTTTGAGGGAAGTCTCGCACGAAACCGTCGTTTTCACATCTTCAACCTTCACTTTTTGAGCGAAGTCTCGCACGAAAGGTTCGTTTTCACATCTTCAACCTTCACTTTTTGAGGGAAGTCTCGCATGAAAGGTTCGTTTTCACATCTTCGACTTTCACTTTGTGAGGGAGATCTCGCGCAAAACCGTCGTTTTCTAGTGATATTCTTCCTATATGATGCCATGATAGTTCCCCCCCTCCCTCCCAACCTAAAGCCCTCCCAACCTAAAGGGTCGTATCCCTGAGAAATATGTTTCTAGTGATATTCTTCCTATATGGTGCCATGATAGTTCCCCTCCCGACCTATAGGGCCGTATCCCTCAGAAGTATGTTTCTAGTGATATTCTTCCTACATGTTTCCATGATAGTTTCCCTCCCGACCTACATGGCCGTATCCCTCAGAAGTATAATTCTACTGTAGTGATATTCTTCCTATATGGTGCCATGATAGGTCCCCCCCCTCCCAACCTAAAGGGTCGTATCCCTGAGAAATATGTTTCTAGTGATATTCTTCCTACATGGTGCCATGATAGTTCCCCCCCTCCCAACCTAAAGGGTCGTACCCCTCAGAAGCATGTTTCTGGTGATATTCTGCCTATATGGTGCCATAATAGTTCCTCTCCCGACCTATAGGGCCGTATCCCTCAGAAGTATGTTTCTAGTGATATTCTTCCTATATGATGCCATGATAGTTTCCCCCCTCCCTCCCAACCTAAAGCCCTCCCAACCTAAAGGGTCGTATCCCTGAGAAATATGTTTCTAGTGATATTCTTCCTACATGGTGCCATGATAGTTCCTTCCCTCCCAACCTAAACTGTCGTATCCCGGTATCCCTGAGAAGTATGTTTCTAGTGTCATTCTTCTTATATGGTGCCATGATAGTTCCACTCCCGACCTAAAGGGCCATCTCAGAAGTATGTTTCTAGTGATATCTTCCTATATGGTGCCATATCAACCTAAAGGGCCATCTCAGAAGTATGTTTCTAGTGATATTCTTCTTATATGGTGCCAAGATAGTTCCCTCCCTCCCAACCTAAAGGGTCGTATCCCTTAGAAGTATGTTTCTAGTGATATTCTGCCTATATAGTGCCATGATAGTTCCCTCCCTCCCAACCTATCCCTCAGAAGTATGTTTATGGTGAGATTCTGCCTATATGGTGCCATGATAGTTGTCTCCCAACCTAAAGGGTCGTACTCCTCAGAAGTATCTTTCTACTGATATTCTTCCTATCTGGTGCCATGATAGGTACCCCCTCCCAACCTAAAGGGTCATTTCCCTCAGAAGTATGTTTCTAGTGATATTCTTCCTATTTGATGCCATGATAGTTCCCCCCCCAACCTAAAGGGGCACCCCTCAGAAGTATGTTTCTATGTGAGAGTTTAGGGGGAAGTTTAGGCGCGCAGATGATCTTGTTTTAGGGGCGCAGATGATGAGTGAACCAAAGATTCTGGGGGCGTCTTATCTTCACGTCAGCGGCGCAGGACAACTTTCTGGTGCCTTTCGTTGCAAGCTGCGTTCGGATTTGTCCAAAAGATGCTTGACGAAACGATGAGGTCAAAGTGGCAAAGTACCCTGCCATGGAAGGACACGAACGCCAACACAATGAGTGACTCTGGGTGTACTGAGGACAAGCATGGACCTTGTTACTCAATGCGTGCTTCGCTCTATGGCAGTTTCAGGCAGTGGGTCATATGGGTCTTGTTGTTTTGTTACTCTCTAAAGTTACACGTAGGAAATGGTAGGAACTTTCCATGGACGTCGCCGTGTTGCCACAATTTCTCGCAGCCCTTCGATTCGATTTGATTTTACCAGGCCGCCTCCACAAACATCTGAGCGAGATTTTGAACTCTTTTGTACAAACTTTAAAGGTTTGTCTCAGTCTCAGCCGCCTGCTAAAAGCATGCCGCCCACAAGGCTAATATTGAAAAGGCCCTGACTCGGGGCGCACAGATAGCCAGTCCCGGAGCTGACAAAGACCTAACATGGGTCTTGACCTTCCAAAGAGTGGCAGGCGAAACAAGAGTTGGTTCCACGATACCTGGCTTCCGGGCACGAGGTGGGTTCAACATCCAAAGTTTTGCAACGTTTGAAGCACTAGCCTCATGCTCTCCTTTGCAGCACATGACATACCGTAGTAGTGGTCAGTGACTACATGACTACTTAGTGACTATATACTTGTTGTCATTTGTCACTGTTTGTCGCCTCTCCAGCGGCTCAAATTTGAAAGGCGAAAGTAGTTCCCCAAGCCTCATGGCATCGTTTCAATTTGATTCTGGCCGAAGCCATGTCTTTGGCGACATCTTTGCAGGACGGCAAGCACCGATTGGCCCCAGTGACAGCAATTCCGCACTGCTGGACCGCAGAGAGTGGCCAAGCCTGGAAATTTCAGTTCCTGAACTCGAATCGGTCCCTCAGCTTCAATCAGAAAGGTTTTCCACGTAGTAATTGAAAAGAATCACAATCGAATGAAGATCAGACCGCTGTATTACAGTCACACAGCTTCCATCAAGCTTCTTCCATACAGCTTCTTCCATTGAAACGAATCAAGTTGGAATGTAGCAAAGAACGCCATGCAATGTTATACACTGCACAGTCACGCAGTTTCTTCCATTCAGTGATCCAGCCTATACCGACCCATGCTCCCTTTTTGTTTTGCTTGAGGACTTTCCTGCTTATGCATCTGAAGCCGTCGAAGTTCGGAATACCTTCATCCATGTAGCCAGTCCGACGGCTGAAGCTGACCATGCTGACCGGCCTTTGCTGTCGTGCCCTGCCAACATCGGATGGATTGAAGATTTGCTCGAGGATCGGAAGGATCCACCTCCAACTCCACCAGCACCACCAGCTCATCCTCCGCCGCCAATGCCGACGCAAAAGGAGCCTGCGGCCACATTGTGAGAAACGGGGCTTGTTTTCGCACTAGGGGATGGTCATCCAGCCATTAATGGGGCGTTATTGTGCCCGTGATAAGGAATCCCATTCATGGTGAAATGTCCATGCGTCATGAATCCCATGTAACTGAACCATATTTCATCATCACGTTTAATTAATGCTCTCAAGATCTCCACCGCGCTTTGCCATCAACTCCACACACTTTTGATCGGTTTTCCTGCTTTTTTCCTAGCTGTAGAGTAAACCTTTCATAGAACAAAAGCACAAATAATACAAAACAAAAAAGCTTGGGTTTCGGGTGCTGCCCGCATGCCCGGCAGAAAGCGCTTGGGAAACAAATGCGTAGGGTTTTTTTTTTCAAAAACTTGCTAGTGATGATTTCAAACTGGAAGTTGAAATAGTTCCTGAAAGCTTGTAAAGTTAAAGGGTGCGGCTATGGCAATATCCTTCAAATTCAATGCATTTTACACGCTTCAGAGACATCTCGCTGAAGCTAGTGTTCAAATTTCAGAAGCAAAGTCCAAAAACCGTCTTTTGCGGAACCTGGCGGAAGCACATAACAAGCAAAAGCTCTCGTGGAAGCTACGTTCTTCATCGCGGAAGCTGGCCGGAAGCTTTCACGGAAGTTATGACAATTTCCTCTAATTGACATATCCCAAAATCATTCAGTTTCTTCTTTGTCTGCTACTGTGGATCCATAGCAGGAGGAGTTCTCCCGTCCTGTGATCCGCCTAGAGAATGCCCTTGAAGCACAAACAGCTGCAGCTCAAGCTGATGCTGGGCTACAAGTTCCACAAGTTCCTTTGTCTATGGGGCGATCACAGGGCACTGGACGTGCCCTGGGAGTCATTGGAGATCAACGTGGACGGGGTCAAAGTACCTATATGCTTCCGACAGCCTACCCTTCCACAGCCTACCCTTCAGGTGGCGATATGCCAGTCGGAAGATCCCACATGGTTGGTGCCATTGGTCCTGTGGCTTCGGTGCAAGCCGCTCCGGCTCCAGCACCGGGTCCGTTTAGCATGGGCCAAGCCTCAAGTTCATTGGGGCCACATGCGCCCAAGCCACATGGAACAAAAGAACTTCCAAGCGTTGGATCAGCCGGACATGCTTTGGGGACTTGCAGGCCCTGTGCCTTTCTTTATGCCAAAGGTTGCTTCAATGGTGCGGCATGCTCGTTCTGCCACCTTTGTGATCGCGGAGAGAAGAAGCGGCGGCAGAAGCAGAAGAAAGCATGGTTTAAAGGAGGTGCTTGAGTTGCAAGATTGATGAAGATTGGCATTAGGTTGGCGCCATAATAAGCAGCGCCAAAGCCATACCTGGCTCAATTTGCATGCTGCCATGGACCGTCGGTAAAATTTACCTAAAGTTCTGTGGCAAGGTGTTGGTACAATAGCTATCAATAGCTGGGGGGTGCCGAGGTAATGTTCTTAGAAGCCACCATCATCAGCATCCCTGTTTGGAGATCCTGCTCGCAGTGTTGTTTTTCAGTGAAAAAGGCACCATAAAACCCGGACTGGAATTATGTATGACGTGCATATGTATTACTTCCGCAGCCAGCCTAGGATGCTGCAAAGAGGCCTGAACGAAAAAACACAGATCCCACTGCTCTTTTGGGAACGGAAAACTGTGTCGTGCAGTCAGTTCCGCGTATTGTTCTTTCGGTGGAATGTTCCGAAGCAATTTTCGCTGCTTTCAAGGCTCGACAGCTCCTCGTTTGCACTCTTGAGAGTCAGTAAGTAAAGTCGGCCATGCCTGCATGCACGAAAGTGGGCTGGTCAGCTTGCAAGGAACTGCAGTTGTATGACAAAGACCTTTTGCTACTACTTGTTTTTTTTTTTTGCGTGAGCCCAAGTGTTAACGCAGAGCATTGCTTGCCTCTTGCCAGCAATGGTGGCATGCGGAATTTGCCAACATGATGGGAAGGTGGAGTTGGCAACAGTCGCACCAGCTGGAGCGTAACCTGATGAAAGACATGACTGACCCATCAATGTTCAGTGTTTTTTTGGATCATGATATTTTCTTTCTTATTCTTTATTTATCTGTTTGCTTAAATTTAAATAATATATTTAATATATTTGTATATTTGTATATTTATTATTCTATTCGCTATTTATTCTTCTATTTATAGTATAGTGATCCCTAAACAGTCCCCTATGGCAATATGTATATATACGTATATATATATATAATATCACGGAAGCCAGCCGCTAGGCTAGGCGAAGTTATTTTTGCGAACAAAGTGAGTTAAGGGGGTCTGGGGGCAGAGCGACCCGAGAGGGACAAAAATGAGGAAATTAGGTGGTAAAAAAGGTGGCCACAGGTAAACTTTTTTAGGGTTATGTACCAGGTGGCAATTGGGTGACGTTGGGGTATCGATTCCCCCCTGGTCCGCCCTCCGAGGTGGATCTGGGCAGATTGCAATGGAGGGGAAAATGATGAGAAAAACAATAGAAAAAATGAGGGAATATGACATAAAACAATGGGAAAAAATGGGAAAGGAGGGGAAAATGATGAGAAAAACAATGGAAAAAAGGAGGGACTTTGACATAAAACAATGGAACAAAAATTGGGAAAGCAATGGAAAATTTGAGTAGAACGCTTGGAACATTGTTTAAAACGCGAGGAGAAACGGTGGAAAGAATAGGGAGAGGGTAAAATGATGCCAAGTAAAATTGAGGCTCCGATGTGGGACCATTATCGCGTAAAGCATGCGTGAAACAAGGGAAAAGCAATGGAAAAATTGCAGTTTCGATGTGTGACCACTATGGAGTAGAAGCACAGAAAAAAACATGGAAGAAACGAGCAAAACCGTTTATACGGTGCAACTGTAGGGATTGTGGAAGGTGCATTTGGGTAAGCGTTAGACACACAGAAGAAATCGAGTAACACCATTGCGAAACACTGTGAAAAGTGATGAAATGGAAAGATAAATTGATAGCATAAAATATGGGAAAAACAATGAACAAATGAATGGGAAAGCAATGGAAAATTGGAGTGGAACGTTTGGAAAATTGATTACAACGCGAGGAAAATTGGTGGAAACAATGAGGAGCGGGTAAAATGATGCCAGGTCACGTAAAGTGTTGATGCACAGTAGTACCACATGTATATATATCCTTTTCACCTCATATACTGTTGCGTGCGTGGCTCAAGAAATAGTGCGTTGCAGGTTAACTTGGTTTGTGGCCCATAGTGGTTTATACTCTGTTTCTACAGGTTATCAGCCGTATCGCCAAGCGATCGCTGGTTTCCTTTGTTTCACACTTGTCGTTCTTTCTCCGTAGTTTTCGCAATGTCCACTCCCCCTGCGCTTCCTGCCCCGGGCGGGAACGCCTCGGCTGCATTGGCTTTGGCGACAACTACACAACCGGAGGAAGTGGTGATCCACTCAGGCGCGGCAACAACTGAAGGTGACATGAGTTACCTGGATGAAGAGTTTGACCCATGCCGTCAAGATCCACGCAGGAACATGCCAGGTGTTTTGGATTCAAACATTGACATCAGCCAACTCAACACCATCAACTTTAACAGTGTTGATCAGCGTACCGCCCACGTGGCAGTGGTACAACAAGGCATTGATCCAAACCTGGCGAACCAGCTCATGGCTGCTCAACAGCAGGCATTGCAGAGTGAGGCGAATGTACGTCACTCTGAGGTCATGGAACGTCAACGAATGGAGCTTGTGAGTGAGGCTCGAGATCAACTTGCAAGCGTTGAACAACAAGCAGCCGAAGAAATTTCCAGGAGAAACCTTTTGTTGAACGAGCAGGCCGCCCAGGCGATGAGTGAGCAGAAGTCTGCTCAACTGCAGGTCACAGCGCAGGATCATCGCATCAGGGAACTGAGTGCCGAGCTGACTCATGTGGTCAACAATGCAGGTGTCTTGACATCGTCTGCGGAGAAGTCCAATGCTGATCTGCAGGCAGCACGTTCAGAACTTGCCGAGTACCGCACTCAGATTGATGCAATGAATCAACACGCTTTGAACATGCATAAGCTGGCCGAATCTCAGAAGAAGGACTTCGAGGCGGAGATTGAGAAGCTTCGGAAGGAGCAGAGAGAGCTCATCCGGAATTTAAAGTCTCAACCTCTGGAGGGAACTCCTGGACTTATGATTCACTATGGTTCAGGGAAACCCATTCCACAATCCTCGAAGCCCAAAGGTCCAATCATTGAGGAGATAGCTTCGGGAAGCAAGAAGCCTCAGCATTCATCAGATGCTGACGATGAGCATTTTCTGGCAGAACCTTCGAAGCCACCGGGATTACCCGGCGGTGGACCTCCAGGAGATGACGATGATGATGATGACTATGACGACAAGAGAGGTCGCAAGGACAAGAAAGACAAGAAGAAGGACCGCAAGACTAGTCGTGGCAGATCGCGACGGCGACGTCGGAGAGATCCTTCATCTTCACCTTCATCATCAACATCCCCTACGACGTCAAGTTCGGATTCTGAGAGTTCCTTTGCACGAAGGGTCAAAAGGGCCTTAGAGCGTTCTAGGACATGGGACTGGACGACTCCTGACGCTGACATGATCTATGACTTCGAATGGACTGGGAAAACTGTTTTTAGAATCCCGGGACCAAGTGAAGTGGATTATGGGGTTGAGTCACGGGAAATTAGATCGGCATTAACTGATTTCAACTATATTGGATCTGAAAAGCGGGGGGATGAAAGTGTGTACATGGCAGGACCCGGTAGTCTTGAGGTCATTTTCCTTGAGGACAACCAAGCAACCATTCGAATCCTTGAGAGTGGTAGGTCACCGTCATTTAGGCACACTGACAAAACACAGAGACTGAACTTATCATGGTTGTCTGAACAGTTCAAACGAAAACATTTCAGACTTGTCTATGTTGGTTCATCGCTTCAAGCGGCAGACATCCTCACCAAGCCCTTTACCAATTCTGAGAAGTGGGAATCAGCTCTGCGATTGATGGGTATTTCATCACAGCCCCTTCCTCGGAAGGAGCCACAGAAGATGAAAGCCCGCGCAGGGGAACCTGCACCTTCAACAGTGTCGGGATCTCAGCAGCGCGCAGGGGAACCTGCTTGCCCTTCAGTGGCATCTCATAGCAGGGTTCTCATTGAATTTTGTTGTGGACCTGATTCAAAGCTTGGTGATCGTACAAGGAAGCATTCAAAAGATTGTTATGTCATCAGATGCACAGAGGAACGAGACGTTACATCTAGATCGAACAGGATGGACATTCGAAATGAAGTTGTTCGAGCAATTGAGAGTTCAACGGCACAACCTTGTCCAGTTTTGATTTGGATCAGCATTCCTTGCACTGGTGGCACAACATGGTCATATGTGAACTTGCAACATGAATCAGCCAAACTTAAAGTTGAATATCATCGACATGTTTTTGAGAAGATATGGTCATCAATGGTCGATTTTCTCAATCTTATTCGTCATTTAAATCCCAAGATTGCTATTGAATGGCCAGCTCATTGTATCTATTGGAAGTTTGACCGAGTTGAAAAGTTCTGTGGAAAACATCAACTCATTAGAGTCACATTTGATGGATGCATGGTTGGTATTGTCAACACAGACGGTGAATCTATCAAGAAACCTTGGGCTATTCAAACTGATTGTGATTCAATTGTCACTGCTTTCGATGGACTGTCATGTGATGGTAGTCATAACCATGTTCAAGGCAGAGGTCATGACTTGAAGGAAACCGAATCGTATTCTTTTCAGATGACGGACATGATCCATCGAGCTTTCATTGCAGCGACCAGCTCAAAGCCCGAACTGACGACTTCTACTGCACTCTGCGCTGTTTCGCTTTCTACATCATCTACCATGGCTTACTTCCGTCGCTTTCCACAAGCAGAGGTCGAGGAGGCAGACTATTCCGCTGCTGCAGAGGCTGCTGGTATTCGACCCGGGGAACCGGAGTCCACAGCTGAAGATGTGACTTTGGGGCCCAATGGAAAGGCGTGGTATGCGTTGACTGGGAGCATTTTTGGCTCTGTCACGCAGTGTCGTGTGGTAAACGAAGCTGATGTAATTTCGGATTTGACATCCATCATGGGGAACACTGACCATTCGCTGTTGGCCAAAGGCTACCTCCGCTACGTCAGCCCGGAAGACGCGAAGCTCCTCGACGGCGTTTCCAGCTTCTCGCTGAGAGGCATGGTATGCCCAGGGGAACCTGAGGCCAACTTCATCTTTGCCGGAGACTCTTCGATGGCACTTGTGGACATGGTCGACGGGTACGCTTCTACGCGCAGGAACATCGGCGAGTACATCAAGGAGAAGCCGGACCTCCTCCCACCAGGTCGCAAGGCGATCTGGCACGATCTCAAATGGGGTCGTGGGCTGCCTGACATCATCAAGGGCGTCGAGCACTCTCTTGAATGTTTGCAGCGGAGGGGAACCTCTCGCCCATCTGTCATTGTCATCTCTTATGC